TCTAAATACGCCCCTGGTATCAGTGCCCGCAAGGATTTTATTTCTTAAATTGTTTGTTCTTTGTTTACTTGATAATACATTTTTTTACTTCTGTTGCCTTAAGTCTTAAATTATTAAATTGACTTAAGTTTACTGAAATCTTATCAGTTATCAGTTACATGTGATCCAAAAATACTGTATGTAAAAAGAAGTTTTGAATCGGATATCAATAATGTATCATTAACAGTGGCATACTCGGGGGGGGGGATATCTCTTTTATAGATATATGAGTCTTTTTTTAGAATTTTCTGTAGAAGCTAAAAGGATGAATTTCTGCCGTGACTAATTTTTTTTTTGTATAATAATGATTGAAATACATTTTTATTTATGACACCCCCTCCCCCAAATCAAATTCCTGGGCACGCCACTGATCATTAATTAATCATACAATAATTTTGTTACCAAATATAGTAATAAATAATAATCCATCGATTATAACATCATAACATATAATATGTTTTTAAATAACTTGAAATGAAGTATTTGAACCTGGCTATTTTCATTATTAAAAAAATTGGTGAATGTCAAGAGAATATTTAAATTTCATTCCTATCCATATAATTCTAATTCTTAATTTGTTTTCTTAGAGTTGCTGCTTGCTGTTGGTCATTCCATTATATAAAACGTGTGCTTGAAACATTGTTTGTACATCGTTTTTCTCATAACACAATGCCAATAATGAATCTGTTCAAAAACTGTTCATACTACTGGGGCTTTACTGCGTTTGTTTCATACTTTGTTAACCATCCATTATATACTCCACCATGTACAATTCAATTTTATATTGGTCTTGGTACTTTTATTGTAAGTATTGAAATTAAATTAAATTTGTAGTGTCGAATCAATAATTAAATAATCGTTTTATGATATATTACAGTTTTGTGAATTAGGAAACTTAAGCATTCACATTGCATTGCGAAATCTTCGTCCACCGGGTACTAAAGTCAGACGTATCCCTGTTCCCACTATAAATCCTTTTACACTTCTTTTTAATTTTGTTTCTTGCCCTAACTACTCTTATGAGGTGGGTAGTTGGATTGGGTTTACCATAATGACTTCTTCATTTTCAGGTAATCATTTAATATTAGATTGTTGATAAAAAATACATTTTATGTAATTTTTTCAGCTGGATTATTCACTCTAGCTGGATTTTACCAAATGGCGGTATGGGCTCTTGGAAAACACAGGAATTACAAAAAAGAGTTCTCTGACTACCCGAAAAGTAGAAAATCAATTATACCATTTTTACTTTAATATGTACTGAATGTTTTAAATAAGTATTTTCTAGAACTGAATATGGTGGATGAATATTTTTATATGGGTTTTTCGGTTTGTATCTTGTGGATATTATAGTAGTATATTATATTTAAAATTTACTGTTGTACATTTAATAACTTAATTAAAATACAAATAATTGATCAAATTGTATACAAATATTTGTAAAATTTTTCTAATACTTTTACAGCCACTATTATTCCATGTAAAATGTAATAATGTATATTATTCTTCAATTCATATTGTATTATTTGATAAATATTATTTTTGTATTTAATTTTTTATATTATACAAATTGAAGAGTTTTTCTTATGACCTGTGAATCTTATTAGACTCACATAGTCACATAATATAGTTCAACTAGGTATTACTTAACACTTAAACAGATCATTAGTACAATTTTGTTATATTGGGACAAAAGTTTAATGTTATGGACAGCACAACTATGTCAAAATATTTATCAAACTAAACATATCTAATTGTAAATATTACATAATTAATCTACCCTTATCAAAATATATATGATCATTATAATGCATTAATGTAAAGAATAGAGATGATTAATATACAGGATGATTCACCAAACATGCTCACCCCAGTGGTTTATATAGAAATTAATTTCAGGGGTCAAAAAATTAATATTTCAACATACCCTATACCTTTTGGCCTTTTAAATTCTAATTAGTTATACAATCAACACCTGTACCAACCATACTTTTCGGGAGGGGGGTTATCCCCTCCCTAAATATGCCACTAGCTCATCTGAATTTTTTCTTTAATTATGAATTTATTCAAATTCTAATTTTTGGAATTAGAAATTACACTCAAAGACCATATTTTCAAATTCTTATGATTTTTTGTATTGCTTAAGAAGTGTCATGTGGCGATACAAACTTCTGTTTTTCAAATGAGAACCCCTATTTTACTGTAAAATATTTAGGTAGTATGTAATTTAAAAAAAATTTTGATGTATCTAATTAAAAATTCAAAAGTAGTTTCTTAGTTAGTAAATTGTTTGTACTAAGAATAATAATTCTTAAAAATCCCTTTACAAAAGTATAAGATACACATACTATTGGAACTAGTATTTTATGATACTTAGTTCGTTTTTACAAATTATTTATGTTGATAGATTAATATTAATGACTAATATTTTCATATCCAACATAGATCACATATCTTATAAACCTTAATTATGGACCTTATATCCTTAGAACACAAAGTTAAATATCTGCAAAAAACTCATTAGAATTTTGATTTAAATATATCAAAATTCTCAAAAAAAATATCCTAATAAAAGTTTGTATCGCCACAGAACATTCCTTATTAAGTGGTACATAAAACTCATGAATTTGAAAATATGGTCTTCGAATATATTAAAAGATTCTAAAAATTAGATTTTGAATAACTKCATTATTAAAGAAAATAAAGGGGTAAACATGCTTTGTGAATCACCAATCACCCTGTATATATACAGTAATTACTAATTACTAATTGTTTTATTCAAACTAGTCACAAAAGTAAAGTATAAAATTGTATAAATAATAAAAACTTGGTAGAAGATAATATAATATAATTAATTTTGTTTTCAAATTTAATAAACTTCATATTTGTAGACATGAATTATAATTTTCAATATAAAAAACTTAGATGTTTTATGAGCTATGCTACTTACAGATTTTTGTTCAGTCTATAAGATATATTCTATTGTGTTCTATTATTTATAAAGACTAAAATTAAATATTCGTAAATGATGTATTAACTACTACTAACTGACTAAATCAACTAAAAACTGCTTTACAAAAAAAAAAAATTATTTCAAATGTGTTTCAATAAATTATACTCTTTAAGGATTATGTTATTATTTAACTAAATCTAAATTTGTCACAGGATCCTGAAGATTGTTATTTTTAGTTTGTTTAGTAATTGGGTTTTTACTTTCTTTAATTTTAATAATTGATTTTGAGTTGTCGTATTTCTGACAGTTAGCCTTCAGTTCTTGTCTTAACTTATTGATTGTATCAATGAGAATCATGTTCTCCTCCATAAGTTTTTTATGGGAATTATTTTTTTTTGCACATGCATTCACACTTTTTTTTAAGCTGATAATGGACTGTTCTAAAAATTGACGCTGTCTTGTAAACTCCATTCTGGTGTCAAGCTCTTCGCCTTTAGATACTTCAAATGTTTTTATATTGCCATATTTAATAAATAAATCCTGTMAATAAATTAATTGCTTATTAAATCATCTTTAATTAAATTATATAGATGTTTTCATTATATTGTTGGTTGATCAGCGATTAGACAATATCATTTTTATGAATGCTGATTTAGTTATAAACCCGGAAGTGTCACTGATTATCAGTTGAGTGAGTGACAAATTAATATAAATTATGAACATTAACTTAATCTTATAATAATATATTATAGGCAACGGTATTCTTGATACCAAACTGGATTAAAAAAAAAAATCCAACTTGGAATGTTTAGACAGTCACAGGCTCCAAACCCTGCTTACAATGAAACATTTGACTTATTTTGTTAGTTGTTACACACTGCAGATATTCGTGAATGACATGTTAATTTTTTATGCGGAACTCTACGCGAAAACAGGAAAAAATGCCAATCTATAGTCAACTCACTTTAACTGCTTCTTTAAGTTTTGCCGAATTTTGATAATGTTCACGGGCCGAGTGGATATCAACTTGAAAGTTTTTTACAATTCTGTTTACTTCTCGAATTGTCTGTTCTTTTTTATTGAGCTCCAGGTCACACGCCTTCAATCTGTCCCGCTGTTCGGATATACGCAATTGCATCTGCTTAACTACTGCTGTCATACCTAACATTTCCGATTCCATCTGTCCTTCACGTCCCGTCATAATGACAACAATAATTATTATTAAGATTTAATAAAATTTACTGTAGGATTTAACATAATAACATATTTTCATCGTAAATATCTGATGTTAATATAATACATAATAAAGATATTACATAGGTAATAATAATAATTATTATTTATTATGAACTTGTTAATTGTTATCTTTATTATTATAGGTACATCAAAATTTTAATTGTATTGTAAATTTGTTACCCATACCTACGCATTCCATACTCGTCGCTATATGTGTTAAATAAAATAAAATAATGTACCTAATGTTTGTCTATCGAAGTATCGTGTTTAAGTATTCATAAGCCAGTAAGTATTAGGTAAGTAATTAGTAATTATTAATTTGCAGGTAATGACGTAATGTTTATAATATCATCATTTATTACTACGCATATGTAAATACACAGGCAGTTGGTACATATAAATAAAACTGGGAGTTTGTAATTTGTGCCAAAATATAGATACGTAATTTGCACCATCTCAGGTAATAAGAAATTGGAAGTATAATTTATGCACCAAAATGCAAAATGAGTATTTAGTAGTGATGGGACATTGGGAAAATTCGAATAATAGGGGTCATTTTAATAAGAAAACTAATAATTTTTCGGAGTTTCTAACTATTCTAACTATTTAAACTATTTCTAACTATTATAACCCACTGCTTTGTCTGGTAATCATATCGAAGTTTGACTCAACATTTATAGTTATGCTTTATTTTTTTAATCATGATTTGTTAGTTAATTGAACCACTTTTTTTTATAATACCTATTTATTTAAAAGTAACAAACCATACAAAGTGTAAATACTTCATATGTAAGTGAAATAACCATTAATATTCTATTAATAGAATATCCTATGCATTGGTGCAAATAGGTGAGGGCTTGGGGGGACTAGGTCCCCTCAGTTCAAAAGTTATTAATTACTACTGAGAATATGTAATTTTTAGAAAATATTATAGGAGGTGCTTTAGTCCCCCCAAAATAATTTGTCTGTTTGCGCCTATGATCCTATGTTTTAAGCTTATTATAATCGATTTTAATGTTGGTGCAAATTATATTTCTTATTTCTTACTTTCTGGGATGGTGCAAATTACATACATTTTAAAAACTCACGTCTTCAATAGTTTTTTTTCTCTCTTGTATTTCCATTATTAACGGTTCTACCGTACGTTCTAGTTCGCTAACATTTTCTTTCGTCAGTAACAATTGTTTTTCTATATCTTTCATTTTAAGTTTCTCTTCGAAAATCCGCGATTCTTTTTGCTCTATAATATCGTCACGAACTTGTATTTGCTTTTTAAGACCCAAGATGGTCTGCTCTTCGTTTTTGACTGATACTTTCAGCTGAGCTATATCCTCTTCGTATTTTTCAATTAGACCACCTAAATCTTCTGCTTCCTTCGACGCTCTATTAAATCAATATTGACACAATATATTAGTACCATTTATAATTTGGCATAAATAAATCATTAAAACAATTAAATAATACATTTTATCAATATTATGTTTATGTACCTATTCAGTGCTCGAAATGGATTTTTTTTTGATTAGGATTAATTATGAAATTAAAATATCAATTGGTTATTTTTGTATTCAACATTTCAAATTAAAGTACAAATATAAGTTTTTTGTTAGCTCATCGACATCAACCAATTCCCGCCACCGCAACGTCTTCAATAACAACAATTAAAATAGGTAGATCGTAGTTAGCTAGTATAGGTACGACATTTAGTAGATCGTATATGCCATCTTTATATTCAGATTTTTATAAATAATTAATCACAACACTAATTAGTTAAATTGTAGATTCTTTGATCATATTTTATGGTGGAACAAATACTTTTAATTTTCTATTTCAGCATCTTTTTTGGTAGGAAATTTAGAAAGTGAAATAGTTGGTACATTGGGCATATGATCCATCGATAACCTAACCCACTGAGATAGCAGGAAAGTTCATATCCTCGTATTAAAACTCTGGTTCGATGTACTTCGACTAGGTAAATTTTTTGATAATAATTAACTGTATGTCTACGTTGTTTGCTATTACGATTTTGGATATTATTTTGACTGCACTAAGTAGGTTAAGCACAAGAGTTCATTTATTTAAAATATGTTTTAATATTTTATGTTCTGAATTGAGTGATGAATTTATTGATTTTATAATGGTGGTTAAAAAAAACTGGCATAAATGTGATCACTTTATGACGCAGTAAAAATGCTTCGATTTTCAATTTTATCATCTTTTTTTTCATTTTCTGGTAGGAAAGCAAATCTTGTTGGTAATTTGGGTTGCCATAAAAATAATTTAAATAATATAAAATTATTATTGATTATTATTTATTATAATATATTGAATGGGTCTGTTACATGGTATTTTCCTGGACCAAATTTTAGACAATCCGTCGCTGACTTAAAGAGTCAAAAGTAAAAAATTCTCATTAATTTTCAAAAGCGTAAAGAAAAA